CGGGGCGCGGCTGATGGCGCCTGAGGGTGACGGAGGGAGAGGAGCGCCAGGGCCGGCGCGGGAGGGGGCTCTGGGTGGGCTCCTGCGCCCATCGCAGGCTCGGGGGTCGCCCGGTAACCGCTGCGCCACCGGGGGGAAGCCGCCGGCAGCGCGCCGTGGTGAGCGAACGGGACCGCGGCGGGAAGCTGCCTCCGGATCGGAGGCGAGCAGCGCCTGAGAAGCACCGTTCCACCGGGCCTGCCGCCGCTGCGCCTTAGGCTTGTGCCGATCCTCCCGAAAGGGCGCTGTAGGCTTGGGAAAGCGGTGCAGCAATACCAGCAGAGCTGTTCTCGCCAGAAAAGCGGCCTCTGTCTCCCGAATTGCATATTTACGACTTGATCTGCACCAGGAGCTTCCACTAGTACAGTTACTTGAGTTGGGAGAGTTGCACCGCTTCGTGACTGTGATTAAGGTTAAATTTACGGTGGGAGAGCTGTAGTAACTGCCCATGATAGTGACCTGTATCTGTAAGATATGGCTTAGATGACAGGATAAAAAAATACTTAAGGGCTTCATGGTTCAGAACAATTAAATAACTACACTGGCAACAATGGAGGAAAAAAAAATCAGTAGGGACTGAGACTAGCAAGAATTAAAAACTGAAGGTGTTTGGAGTATTTTGCTCAAAAGGGACTTAGAACAAACCGCCCTCCAGTCTGTGATCCAGAAGGGGACCAGTTAGGAAGCTATTTAGACTGTTAACAACTAAAATGTGTTACATGTATATAAAACCAAACCACGTTCCTTCTTTCCACCACTTTTCTTTCAAACAGAAGCTAAGATTTCCCATTGCGTTGCTTGCTCTTACAGTGAGAACAATTAGATTTGCTAATCCCTGCTTTCTTATAAACAAACTATAACTGAAAGAAAACAGTAGCTGAATACAGTGGCATAAACCATTCATAAATAATCCCCATCGCACTGTGGAAGTTGAACTGAAACTTCACAAAAAAAGGAAATTACCTTCTTAAGCCTGCAAAATAAGACTATCTCATTTTATACGCTTCATATTTTTTCTGTTACATTCACAAAATCATCGCATGCTTGCTTTCACTTAAATTACTGAAATGATGGCAGCTTGTTTGCTTCATCCATAGGAAACTTTTCATTAGCAGTGTTAAAATAGAGCAGCTTTTGGGGCAGGGAGGGGGGGATCAAGTTTCTCAGCTTCATAGCTGCACAGGAAAGCTTGTAAAGACAACTCAAAACCAGGGAGAAAAAAAAAAATTACGGAGCAGATACACACAGCATGTATCTATACCTATTTATGCACACAGATTGCTTGAAGAGGCTTGAGCGATGATTTTGCGTACTCAAGTTAGTAATCTCACAGCACTAGCAGGAGCATCGGCAAACCCAACTTAAGTGAGGCAGAAGGCAGAACACCAGGTGAATTTCAGTGCTACACGCCCCGCCTCCTTGTTTTGCAATCTGGCTTCATATATATAAACATACATAATTTATATGCACACCCATATTTATAAAACACTCCAGATCTGAGCTTTTCCCTGCCTCAGAAGCCTCAAATTTCGTGCTTAAAAAAACCCTAAACTGTCGCGGGGGAAGGTGTTCAGTTGCAGCAGGAAGAGGCAGCCCCGCCAAGGAGCACGGGGGGCCGGGCCGGGGCCAGCTCCCAGGCGCCCTCGGCAGGGTCGGGAACCGAGCGGTCGGCGGCCACCGAGTCGGTGAGCGGGGGATGCGGGTGCAGGGCCGGGGGGACCCGGGGTGCTCCCCTCTCCTGCCCCCGTGGAGCCTAGCTGCTGCAGCCGGGGGAGCTGGGCGGCTCTCCCTGCCGGGTCCAGCTCGCTGCCTGCGCTGCCCGTCCCGCCGCCTGCTGCTTCAGCTGGGAGCAGGCAGGCATTGAGGGGGCCGGCAGCGCCAGGGAGCCTGGAGGGAACAAAGGAGGGCGCTTCCTCCAGCCCTTTGTCCTCCCTGCACTGCGCTGCCCCCGTCTCTCTCCAGCCCCTTTCGCGGATGGAGACAAATGCTTGCGTAGCCCCAAGCTGAGACGGGGGTGGCTTTGCTCTCATTACCAGTAGTGCAGCTGGTACGGGGAGAAGAGCGGAACAGGATTTGGTGCTCGCCCTACCGTAGGGGATGAGGATAGAGCCGGGATCCGGGTGGACAACGCTTATCCACCGGCAGTGGAAGGGCTTGGACACAAGGGATGTGCCAGTACACAGAGCAAAGGCGGTAAAACTTCTGCCCTCAGGGGGCAGGCATCCCGAAGGTTTTGTAAGAGGGCAGAGCGATAAATGGAATGTTTAATGCAGTGGGAAAGTGTTAAGTTAGCAGAACAGTGATTTTTGAGGCTTCGCTGTGTGCCTTTAAAAACGAGTAGGTGGGAAATTACAGAACTGTAGCAATATGCAAACCACTTGTGTGAGTGTTAAGCAAATTGTGCTTAAGACAAATGGAAGATCTTTACCTGGAGGCAAACAGTTCTGATGTGAAGGGCAAAGCAAAAGGATTCATTGCTTCTGCTAATTGTTCTGGCTATTTTCTAGGTTCTGGGTGTAGGAAATATGAATGACTGGCAGAGGAAAAGCCCTCTAGACTGGGAAACATATGTGAACAAAATGGTGAAAGTTGCTGCAATTGAGAAACATGAATATGAAGGATGGGTCTTAACAGTTGATCCAGTTTCTGCCAGGTAAGTACCAAAGCTTTTGTTTCTGTAAAGCTAAGAGAAAACAAGTTTTTCAGGAAGAGAAAAGATCCCAAGACTGAAGCAAACTTATTTGGAGCAAAACCTGCATGTTGGGGCTGTGTCCTGTTTTTTTAATTAGCAAGGCCTAAGAGAAGGCAATATGGTAGTTGGTGAGGCCAGTTCACCTAAATCCATTTTAATTTCATTCAAACGACTGATAAGTTTGGGGAATGGATAATATCTGGATTCATGCTGACTTTATTGTGGACCTGAGGTTAGTACTTTAAATGGTATCCACGTGTTTAGGACTACTTTTGATAGTATACCAGGCCCTGCTTCACAAAGAGAGCAGGAATGCAGGAATGTTTTTAATGCTTTAGGTGTTGAAATCCTTATCCTCTGTCCAGAGTTCTCACATTGATGCTCTGCTTTCCCCTCCAGCTGGACACCCATGAGGGTGTAGTGGCTACTTTGGAGAGGAAGCAGGGAAAATCAGCAAGGGCATTGGACAGAAGGTAGTACCACAGGTCTCTAGTATCTCAAGTGAGTAACTTGAAAACAGGTTTGAAAGGCAGAACGCACCAGGGAATAGGCAGAAATTTGGCTCCTTGCTGCCAGAGCTTTTTTAATACCTTTTTGGTTGTGAGCTTGTCCCACATGAGCACAAGATGGAGGCTAGAAACGAAAACATCCAGCTTCTGATGTGTTTCAGAAGAATTGGTTGTTGTTTCAACTCTAGAGTATTGGAGCTACTCCAGTCTTTCTTGGAGTTGCTTATCATTTTGGTAGGAAAGGCGTGTGCAGCTGTGAGTGATTCTGGAGATGGCCCAGGCTAAAATCAAGGCATATTTCATTGCACATTTCCCAAAAAGTCATTACTTCCACTAATGGTGGCAACAGTAGATTAGCAAAGTGCTGGCATCAAATTCTGGAATTTTTCTTCCCCCAAGAGGAAGAAAATGGTTTTTGACCCTCTTCGTTGATATATGGGGAAGAGATCCTAGAAATGTAACAAGCTGCCTTCCTACCTGTATTTTAGGACTTCTGGGATGTAAGTGCCTTTGGGAAAAGACCAGGTTGCCACAACATGAGCCTGAACCTGCTGTGGTGTGTTCCCATTGTAATACTCAAGCTATAGTTTTCAGTTAAGAAACTAGCAACACTCATTTAAAAGAAAATATTCTTTTAGCAATGATCAAAAATTAAATATTAATAATTTGTCATCAGAAGGTTCTGATGCTCTTAGCTGCCACCATTGCCCTTAGCATTCAAAGTGCTGTCTGTATGAAGGTATTGTTTCTGAATGTTGGAAGACTTAAGGTTCTTCAGCAAGGTTGGGAATGCTGCACAAAAATATTTAGATTCCCAGCCCTGATTTTATGTACACTTTGCTTTTTTAAAGTAACGTTCTGCTTGATAGTATCTAGAGTAGTTTCAAAATCAAGGCTAGAAGTTATCCGCAAAGCCCCACATTTTCAGTATTTTAAGGGTATAGCAGCATGCTTTTCAAGAAAAATGCTGGGTACTCGATATTGCCTAAATACCTGGGTTATGCTGATGCTAATGAGCACTCATCTCCAGGAATCTTGGCCTGTGTTTCTCAGTCTTCAGTTAAGTGCAGTGACTCATAGATCCTTCTTTCCTTGGCAGTATTGTCCTTGCAACATTCCTGGAGAATGAAAAAGTGTCCATATCAGTTGTCTTGGGCCATGCTGTCCAGGAGGTCGAAATACTGAAAGAAGGGGATGATGAAATGAAGCAACGGCTTTCTTGCATATTTGCGCCTGAAGAAAGCAAAGCCTACAGCCCAGAGGAACTTGAAAAGAGGAAGAACAACTTGAAGACTTGGCTAGAAACAAACCACATCCCCGTAACAGAGCAAGGTGAATCAGGAAGAACACTATGCGTGGCAGGGGTATTAACTATTGACCCACCATACGGCCCAGAAGAGTGCAGCAGCTCCAATGAGATTATTCTGTCTCGGGTTCAAGGCTTGATACAGGGCTATCTTGAAAAACAAGAGTGATGCCTGCTGTTTAAAGCAGTTGTCTTTAGGAATGGCTCTACCCGCCCTATTTTAGGAACTGTCCTGGGTATCAATATTCACTATTTACAAAAATGCTGGGTTTAGGTACTTTTGTCTGATTTTTGTATGTTAAGAAAGGGATAAAACAAGCAGTATAAACTAAAAGCATGAAGCATTTTCCATGCGCTATTTTTTATTAAAAGCAAGCCATTGGATAATGATGATGTATTACACTGATATATCAGTTTACTGTATCAGTATTAAGCTGATATACCAGTTTAATAAGTATTTTTTGTAACAGTATTGTGAAAGATGATATATGATAAATTTTTTTATCAGTTTTCCTCTGCCCTTAAAATTAATTTTAATTGATTATCTAGTGGTGTATGGATGTTTATTTGAACTGCTTACCAGATTTTTTTTTTTTTCAGAAAGAGAATTGTGACACTTGGACTTTCCAAACGAGATGAAAAAATTGTTCAGAAAGCTTCCCCCCCCAACTGTTCTCCTGTTTTAGAACATGAATTATAATGTAGGTCCAAGTTTGTAAAATTATTAAGGAAAGTTAGCAGGCAAATAGGTTTAAAAACATTTCCTATCTATATCTTTTATTTTAGAGCAGCAGTGATTGGAAGACCTTTGCTCCTTGGAAAGATAATTTCTTGCAATTCAGTAAGTTTGTGTTTCTTAATGCTTTGTGTCTATCTTATGGCAACACACAATGCAAGAATCGTTGTGATTATTCCTAGATTATTAATCCAGTCAGGAGACTTTAGAGCCCTCATTTATCTCTTAGTGTGTTGATTTGTTCTGTCTTCTTATGAGATAGCACCAAAACAAGTTAGTGTGCTCAAATGCATTTGAAAAGTCTGTCTAACCCTTGTTATTAAAAGGCCCTCCTGATTCCTGCTGTGGTTTATTTACTTTGGATCAATCCAGTTCATGCTGATTTTTCTTAAAAATCCTGTACTGCACACATGCTCGTGTGTGTGTCTCCCTGAAAAGGTTGGTAGATGCCAACGCACAAATGTTTCAGCTGCTTGTCTGGATTGGGGGATCGACCAGTGCCTGAACTCCAGGGCACCCAAGGGTAGTTGGGATGTATTCAGTGTGAGAGCTAGCATCAGGTCAAACTCCGCTCAAGAGATTTAAGAACAGCTTGAGAATGCCTCACTACAGGGAAGGTACTGCCTCCTACCTCCTCACCAGGGAATAAGGAGCCTGGTAGGCTCCTTCACCTCTAGTCTCAGTAGGGCCAGAGGCTGAGTTACTGGTCTTACGTGAGGCGTGATGACCGGAACAAGTGGTTCCCATCGCCTCTGCTCCCTCTTTGCACCGCTGTGCCTTCCTCACAGACAGGCTGTGGGCGGGAGCTGTCACGTGGGGTTGTCTGTGCCTCACTGACTACATGAGCCCCAGGGGAAGCATATGGCTATGGCCACAACGGACGTGGGGCCTGCACAGCAGGCGTGACCAGCTCCCCTGGTGGAACCTACCCGGGAAAGGAGCATCCCTTCCGGGAGCCAGCGAAGTGAGCCGCAGACCACGCCCCGGCACTCCTCCGACGCGTACCCAATGCGCAGGCGCGCCCGGCCCCCCGCCGTTCTCGCGAGACCTGCCCGCGCCCGAGGAGCGGGATTGTCCCGCCCCGCGTTGCCAAGCGACCAGAGCCCCGCCCCCCCCGTGCGGCGGTCG